CCGGGAGCGCGCCCGGGCCCAGCCGCATCGCCGACTACCTGCTGCTGCCCCTGGCCGAGCGCGAGCTTGTGTCCCGGGCGCTTTGCATCCACACTGGCCGGGAGCTGCGCTGCAAGGTAGGCGCCCTGGGTCTGGACTGGGCGGGGGTCGTGGGTGCGGAAAGCTACGGTCTGCCAAGGCGCTAGGGGTCTGGCCGGGGTCCCGCCAACGCTTGGACTTGGAGCAGGGAGGATAAGTGGGTGGGTCCGATAAGGCGGCGTTTGACCACATTCGTACTTTATTGATTGAGGGGCTTCCCGTCGAGTGGTAGAATGGGGGCGCAGCGGTCAAGAGGAAGTCAAGTCTTCAATTGCGTTACTTCTATATTCCTTTCTTAGTGCGCGGCGTTCCATATAAGTTGTGGAATTGAAATGGATTCCAGGCCGTGCCATTCCCCTTCTCTCATTCTCCTCGTTCTCCACCGCTCCCCCCGCTCCCTTGTCCTGGAAGGGCGCCCTGCAGTGGGTGCCTCCTTGGAGCCCGGGGCAGCTGGCAGCTCCCTTGCTGCGGTTTCAGGGCACCGCGCTTAGCTGTAGATGGTGACCCGTGTCAGGCTCCTGCTTTTGGGATTCCAACTTGAACCCGCGCTGGGACGAGAACTTCGTTCCCCTAAGAGAGCAGTTTGAGGGAGTCTTCCAGCCGAGGTGGGGGAGTTTCCTGGAGTATAGATGCCGGGACGCCCACGCCGGCTAGAAACCCTCCCTCCCATTCACTTTATTTTCCGACCAGTGATTTTCATTTGAACATAAGGGATCCCATTCAGGAGGAGGAGATATTTCAAGTTCTAGAAACAGGATCCGCCGGTGCTCTTCCAGCACTCGGGACGCGGAACGTTCCGCAGGGTACTCTGCGAGCCCTGTTCCAAGCACCGCTAAGAAGCCGGTGAACTGCTCCTTTCACTCCAAAGATCGGGTCACACTCCCCCCCACCCCCGGCCCCCCAATTTAAAATTGCTCTTGGATATTCCTCAACTCACCTGACCACCCCCACCCTAGGGCTGGCTGCTGCCACCTACTGTCGTATCCGAGCGGAATTTCAAATGCATGACCCAGTCTAGTTTAAAGAGGAAAAAATAATCATTTCTTCTCAATGGCAGGGCTCAGAGCTGTTTTGGAGAATTTATAAGCGTGTGTTGGGGTGGGTTGGGAGGAGGGGGCCACACTGGGATTTTTCGAGCTTGCCAGAGCAGCCAGGCCTCCGAGGTGGGGTAGGTCTGGCCATTGTGCAACCCCTTCCAGTTCCTCTGAGCAGATAATAGCTGAATCCAGATGGTGACAACCCGTGTGTCACCGTTTCCAGTTGAGTCTCGGATATGAGTAACCGGACTAAACAAAAGGCGCTTAAAGAGACCAGCCAGCCTCTCAGAGGAGATGGTGCCTATTTCTGGGGGTGGAGTGGGGTGTGGGTTTGGGGGGGTGGATAATCAAACAAATGAAACAAACTGTTGGGAAGATCCCATACCCCTCCTGTGAGAACTGGAACTCAAAGCTGTTTGTTACACCTGAGTCAGCTGCAGGCGGGCTGTGTTGTCACAGTCTCTCCAAGTCATCCCTTCCTTTGACTAATGACAGCTCTGCATGTTCTCGGGCCCCTGCTTCCCCTTGGAGGCGCAGAGTCACCACATTCCGTGGCCACTCTGTGCTGAGTGCTTTGGGTCTGCAGGAGACATGTGCATGTTGGGGACTGATTGTTCAGGTGGTACCTTCCGTCAGCCACTCACTAGCATGGCCTGCAAAAGAGGAAAGCCTTAAAGAGAAGAGCTCTGAGACATACCTCGCAGGAGCTGATGGACGATGGGAGCATGGTCCCAAGACAATTCTTCCTAATCATCCGTATGGGAGGGGGTATCCCTATGAACATTTGCTCACCCAGAGCCCCAGGTGTTACTGGTTTAAGGGTGTTGGGGCAGCTGGGTCTGCATCAGTTATGACAGAGACGAGGAAGTAAATGGAGCCTGAAGGGCAGGTGGCTATTTGTACCCCAGTGATGTCAACCGAAGCCCAGTGATGGAGAACTTCAACTCAGCTCCCTACGGGATGTGGGGGACAGCCTCTGCTTTTCTAGCCCTCTAAACAGGCCATCTTCTCTCTGCAGGTGTTTCCCCTTAAACACTACCAGGACAAAATCAGGCCTTATATCCAGCTGCCATCACATAGGAACATTACCGGCATTGTGGAAGTGATCCTTGGGGAAACCAAGGCCTATGTGTTTTTCGAGAAGGACTTTGGGGACATGCACTCTTATGTGCGAAGCCGGAAGAGGTTGCGGGAAGAAGAGGCTGCCCGGCTCTTCAAGCAGATTGTCTCTGCAGTTGCCCACTGTCACCAGTCGGCGATTGTGCTGGGGGACCTGAAGCTTAGGAAGTTCGTCTTCTCCACGGAGGGGAGGTGAGCGGCTGCCACAGCTGTCCTATGGTCTTTCAGAACCAAAATGAAGGTTCAAGTTGTGCAGTTAGGTGCCAGGTGTTGGTGCAAAACCAAACCAAAGGCTCAGTTGCCCCAGATATAGTATTTAGATGTCCTGCTCCTGACACATCTCAGATGCAAGGTTTGGCTTACTCTGCACTCTCGTGGACGGGGCGTGGGGACCCCTTGGTGCTCCTATGGGTCGTTGTGCGTTGGACAGATGTCCTCCTCAGTTCTACTCCAGGATCAGATTTATTCCCCATTGTTGTCAGCAAAGTCAATCTTCTGGGGTACAAATAGCCACCTGACCTTCACTATAGTAACTCCTCAAGGAAGTTTTCTAATCCTCGCTTTTACCAAGTGATTTTTATTTTTGTGCCTAGAAGGTCTGACTGAGCTAGTTAGACGGTTGTATTTGCAAAACTCTGTGCTCCTCCTCTATACCCGTTTCTGTTGCATCTCAGGCTGGGTCCCCTATACTTTCTTTATGTTCTCTGGTGACTTTTTAGACATCTCGCTTGGCAGCCTCTTCGGCAAATAGCCACATTGAATAATAAATGGAAGTTAGCTAGAATGGATGGCTAAATATAGATCATGGCTTACCTCATAAAGGACAAGATGAGCTTGATAAGAGAATAAGGAGGCATTAAGATTCAGAGTTGAGGTTTTAGACAAGAGAATTCAGGAAGCCACATGAGATAGACCATGCCTGATTTTAAGAGGTGGATCACCCACATCCCCTGTGGAAAGAATAAGAACAAAAGTACTACAGAATAGTAGAGATGGGAGTGAATTATTTTGCCGTAGCTCTTCTTGCAGGGCTTACCCTAATGTACGTTTTTGCCTTTAATTCCAGAGCATAGGAAAAAGTACAGGGGTGCAGAGTTGAATGGCCATAGAGTATGACTTAGGATCTGACCTTGTAGTAATTACTGGAGCATACTGATTAGCAAAGAAAAGCAAAGTGTTTGCAATGAAGAAGTTTTCAATTCCTGGAAAATGCTCCTTTGGCATGGTGATGCGTTTTCTGAAACATGACTTACACACCTCCTTACTAGCTTTTGAAATCCACATTGCACAGGCGAATGTCATGGGTGTGGAGTTTGGCAACCCGAGGGTTAAGCAATGGCAGGCTGACGCTATTCGTGTAACCAGCACAGGTGCAGGGTTTTAGTACTACAGCAGCCAATCAGGGGCAGACAGTGTGGGTTGAGTCATATTTTCCGTTTACAGAACCAATGGGTATTTTACATAACGACGGGGAGGTCACGCTGAGGACATACCGAAGTTAGCACATGTATACTACACTCCAGGGAACAAGAAGGCAGGAAGAAACACACACACACACCAGACCTTTGAAAGGAAAAGGAATTGACCCATCAGCCAGTACCAAATGTTTGCATTTAACTTCACAACAAGAGACTTACTGAAACAGGGCTATTTCAGAGAAGCAGGCAGGGTTAGCTGCCATTAGATATTAAAGGTTCCCCATGTGGTCTGGGTTTTGGGGCATCTGAGAGACTTGGATGGCTGCTTTTGAATGAAGAGGCATCTGCAGCTTTTGACTAAAAGTTTTTCAGACTTCAGTTGTTGCCTGAGCAGAGATCCTGTATTGAATAAATATGTTCATGTGTTGATGTACCATCTTAAGGTGTGTGTGTGTGTGTCTGTGTAGGAGTTTTCGGGGCTCTTCATCTCTCAAATTCATCAGCCATGTTTGTTTGTTCATATAACCTCTCAGCCCAGGCTACGTGTTCTTTGCAATTAAATGCCCCAATAAATGTAATTAACATTCCTTCCAACTTTCCCATCACAGTTACCATGGCCCAAGCCCAGGTGGACAAAGTTTCCTCTGTGTGTATCTATGAATGTGGGCAGCCTCTGTGTGATAACTGTGACTTTGGGCTCTGTGTTCTCTAATGCAAAGCATGGGTCCAAGTGACCCTGGCAGTCGATGATGGGAAAAGAGACAAGATCATCATAGGATGCTAGGACCCTTCTTTAAAAAGTAGGATATACTGCTCCTGCCTGCCAGCTTTTGTGGAAAATAATCAGCATTCTCCTGAGACAAACTCCCAAGTTCTGCAATGCAAACTTTGTGAATTGTGCAACCCTTGTTAGGATATCTCTTATAAGCTCTAGCATCGTGAATACCATTTGGGACTTTGCAACATACCCTCCACCCCAGGCGCTCTCTCAATACTTTGCAAACATTTATTGCAGTTTGTATTGGTTTGTGAAATCTCCAGTCCTGGGTAGTTGCTGGGCACTGCTTATTGGATGAAGAGGTAAATTGCATTCTTTGAGTCTTTGCTGTTAGCCTGTGGGCACTGTTATTAGGAAGGCCTTGTTTGTTGTAGCACCTGATCTGGAAATAATGGCTTGGTTCCTCTCTCCCACAGAACCCAGCTCAGACTGGAAAGTCTAGAAGATACACACATAATCAAGGGGGAAGACGATGCTTTGTCAGACAAACATGGCTGCCCAGCCTACGTGAGCCCCGAGATACTCAACACCACTGGGACCTATTCTGGGAAGGCTGCGGACGTTTGGAGCCTAGGGGTTATGCTCTATACTCTTTTGGTTGGACGATACCCCTTCCATGATTCAGACCCCAGTGCCCTTTTCTCCAAAATCCGACGTGGACAGTTCTGCATTCCCGACCACATTTCCCCCAAAGCCAGGTGCCTCATCCGCAGCCTCTTGAGGCGGGAGCCTTCCGAGAGACTCACTGCTCCTGAGATCCTCCTCCACCCCTGGTTTGAGTTTGTCCTGGAACCTGGGTATGTCGACTCAGAAATAGGAACTTCAGACCAGATTGTTCCAGAGTACCAGGAGGACAGTGACATTAGTTCCTTCTTCTGCTAATCCCAAAAACCTCAGAAACCTCATAATTCTCACACATGGCATTTCCATTTCTAAAGATGGACAGGCCCTTTGGCATGATGCCAACCAGATACGTGACTGCGTCAAGATCGTAGCTGCTGAAGTCCACACAGCACCTCCTCTTATTCATTGGAACGAGTGACTTGATTGATTTGCACAGCAACCACACTGATTGGCTGCCTTCACAGTTATTTCTCTTCTTAATGAACCTTGCAACTATCCTTTGGTTGGCTCTGCATCTTTCACAGGTGGCAAAGAGTACAGACATCCTATACTGTGTGGTCAAGGATGATGGACTTGAACGTTCAAATGGGAGAGGAAGTATCAACACAGTGACATCTTGGGGAGTGACAAATAATGTGGGCCAATAAGCCTGCCGTCTTTGAACTTAATCTTTGGTAGCCAGACTTGCTACCGTAGCTTCTCTGATTGGAAAGTTCTTTTTTTGGTTTAACACTCATCCTTTCTTCACACTCACATTTACCAATGACTCTGCTCCATTTTTGGAGCAGACTGTTTTAGGAACTTGGGAGCCTGCCTGAACCATGAACTTAGTCTCTCTCCTCCATTTCCTGCCAAGACCTCCTGTGCACTAATGCTGTCTCCCTGACCTTGAAACTTTCCCCCTTTAGCTAGAAAAGCACTTACCAGCTGACTGTGGAAAAGTATCACAAAAGATTCAAACTCCTGGCTATTTCAGAACTCTGAGCTCAGACAGAGAGACTGTAGATTTTAAAAAGTAATTTGAGCACTTGGAAACTTAACTTTTTAGGTTTCCCTGAAATATGCTAGCACTTAACCATTTACATTTTCCCCAAGACCATTGGAGGGTAGAGCATTTTTGTCTAGGAGGAGAAAGATGAGATTCACCACTCCCCCTCTCCCTAAGAGCAAATGTTCAACATCTTTGTGCTTCGAAGAGAGTACCTTTTGGATAATCTTAGAAGATTCTCAGACTAACTTCCAGAATTATACTTTAACTTCTCAAGGTTATAGTCTGCCTCTGACATTGTGTGTGTGTCTGCAGTTTTGCATGATGGTGTTAATATTTTCAAATGTGGAATGGTTTATGAATACATCTGTATAATCAGCTTCTGGAGTGAAATAGCAAGCCCCACATCTTTCAAGTTGGAAAGGACTTTAAAAGCCATCTGGTCCAACTTCTTTGCTCTTTCTGCCCCTCCCAATGCAGAAATTCCCCCCTCTGCTTCTTTCACCAGTGAGAATCCAGCCTCCACTTAAATGCTTCCAGAGATGGGAACTCACTACCTATAAAAGATAGAGCTAATGGAGAAACTGCAACTTGCATTTAAAAACAAGTACTAATGAAATATCAGTAACTATCTTGGACAGTGTTGAAATCAGGTGGTTAAACGGGTAAACAAAACATACTGTATTTTGAGAAATGGCACAAAAACAGGCAGTCATTTTTTTAAGGGCTATGTCTAAGCAAACTACTAACATGCATTGTGAGAATGCCGTGTATACCTCACGTACTGTGTATTTTGTACATATATTTTATCTTTTATACATACGTCTTTTTTTGTTTGTTTTTTCTTTTTGTTATTTTGGCTCTGAGGCTTGTTTTGTCTGTGTCTGTCTGAATAACCTGCGTGTCTAAAACCACGTGAAATGTGAATGATTATTGGCAATATTACCGTGACAGGATCATGGGACTCAGAGAAGAGGGAGGACAGAGGCGTCTGTCGCACTAACGCTCTCGTGGTTGCTCGACTGTTGTATCTGTGATACATTATCCGGCTAAGGACTCTGGACTGCAGGGGCTTCTGCCGGGAAAGCTAGAAACACTAGATCCTTCCTGTACATGTGTATATATGTGAACGGTGAGACAGCCGTTTCTGACTTGTAGAGAAATTGTAATAAATCTGGTTTCGTAAATAGGTGTGGTGAATTTCTTTGGAGTCCAGTCTTCCTTTCTCTTTTGCAATTTCGTGCTGGGAATGCAAAGGTCTCTGGCCTCCAGGCTTACAGTCTAGGGGAAGTGGCGAAGTAGACAGGTGATTATTGTGTGTGACCTTTGGCAGACTCAGTTGAACCCATTTACTTTTTTCATTTAAGTGGGCAGATCCATCTTAATGGGTGAAACCCATTTGGTGAAACCAGGTTGGGTACTGTGCATTGAACTTGAGAAACATTTGAAGAGGCGCATGTGTAGATAAGCTTTGAGTTGCAAGAATCCCTATGGCTTTTAGATTTTTGCGGGGGTCAGGGACCCTTGAGAATTTGATAGAAGTGTCACAAATGTATCCAATAGAATTTTGTCATCATCACTGAGGTTTCTGTAGGTCCCTGAGGGCATCCTGAACTGCCCTGTGAGAGACAACCCTCTTACTTTAGACCTAATTAAGATGCTTAATTGAGGCATTTCCTTTTTTTTTTTTTTTTACTTTCTGTAAGTGCAAAACATGGAAATGAAAGGAAAAACTGCAGGTGATAATTGGAATCACAAAGGTAGAGAAAGAGGATTTTTCAATTATTTAGGTTAATAACTTCAGCATTACTTCCGAATCTATTCTCTTCCAGACCATATTTTTTTAGAAAAGGATTTCACATTGTAAATTGTAACATGTACAGGAAATGCATATGTAAGCGTAAGTCAGTGAGTTTCCACAAACTGAACTCACTGGTGTAATGAGCAGTCAGTCTAGAAAGCAGAACTCCTGCCCTTTGCAGACCCTGCCCGGTACCCTCTGAGGGTAACACCACAGGACAGAATTTTATTTAAACTGTAAACATTAGGATGAAGACTAACTCATCCACTCTGGACTTACATGAAGAGGTGTACAGAAGCTACAAATGACACAGTTACTCGTTTCTAGGGTTCAGGCTGAGATTACCTGGGAAAGCATACCTATGACACCCAAACTAGGGCAGCTGGGACCTTGTGACCCAGGAGCTTCCGGGAAGAAATGGAAACACCTGGGAAAAGGGCATGGGAAATAGTCAAATGTCCAAGGAGTTTAGAAACTAAGAAACTCGGGATTAGTCTAGGGCCATTCCATGGTGGGGGCTTACACCCTGAAGTTCTGGAGCCGGCCTCAGAGCACACTGCTGTGTCTCCCTGCTTCATTGACTACAGACGAGGCTTGCCATAACTCCTTGGGCACATGGAATGCTAATACTTTGGACTTCACTGAGCTCCTAATCTAAGGATTTCAAAACACTTCGAGTAATTAAGGTTACAACACCCCTTTGTACTGTTGTTACACGCATCGAATGGAGAGAAAAGTGGGTCAGGATTGGCTGGGAGAACATGTGATGCCACAAATCCATAAATTTAATCTCTTCTGAGGTTGGAACAAATCTGGGGCAATTGCAACCGGTTAAATTACAGGTCGAATGACAGCACACAGAAAAGTGATCACTATTTTCCCTTGTGGGCTCAACATACTTATAGTGATATCTCAATACGTAACCTTTTTTTTAATCCTACTTTTTAGAAGCTTCTATCGCTCTTCCTTTTTATAGTCACAGCAATTAAGTGAAATAGTCAAGTCATGTATTTGCCCCGTTTTATAGCTGAGGAAACTGAGGCTCAAGAGTCTTTTGTTAGGTGCTCAGAAATAAGCCGCTTAGAGCTGGGATATGAACCAGGCAGTAGGACTTGTGCCCAATATTGTTGCCATCTCTGCATGCCAGCACACTTTGTGTGGTATGCAGGGAGAAGATGGTTCAAAACAAATACAAATATTGAGTCTTAAGCTCCAGTAATATCTCCACAACAACCTAGTACTCCAATCATAAAGGTAGAAACATTACTGAAGACGAGAGATCCATTATTCATTCAACAAAAATTTACTGTGCACATACCATGTGCCAAATACTGGTAGACCCATAGAAACAGACGATGGAGACTCAGTCCACCTCACTGGATGGAATGCTCCATGGGGTCAGGGACTGCGACAGTCTTGCTTTCCTCCTAGCTTCCCAGCACCCAGCACAGTATCTGCCACAGACAAGTGCCAAATGCCAACATGGATGGATGGGTGGATGGGTGGGTGGGTAGACAAGCAAATGAGCAGGTGATAGATGACAGAATGGATGGGTGAGTGACTGCATGAGGGATGGAGGGGTGAGTGAATGGGTAGATGGATGAGTGGATGATGGATGGATGGGCAAATGGATAGGCAGTTGGGTGCATAGATGGATGTATTGGTGGACGAGTGGGTGGGTGGATGGGGAAGTGGACGATGGATGCCTTCCAGTAGCTCAGTCAGAGCACCAAGAGCACAAAAGTGGAATTCTTGTCACTAGGGATTCCTTCTAACTTGGTGCCCTTCTGCTGCGTGACCTAGAACAAGCAGCTGTCTTATTTGCTAATCGTGAAACAGGAGAGATGCTGTAGTTTTTCTGATCTCTTCAGCTCTTCAGCTGCTATTTTGTGATTCTGTGAAAATGGACCTAACATGATCTTTGCCAGGAGGGTTATGAGAATAGCTATGAGAATATAGGCAGCATGATTGAGTTCCTTGCCTAATTTCATTCTGGATGATGAGAGACATCACAGTAGTAAAGGCTAGAGAATTCACTTTTTGGGGCCAGCAGGTGGTATGGTAGTCAAGATGCTGGACTCCCACAGGCCAACAGTGGTTCTAGTCCTGGACCTGATGGCTTGAAATTCACATCAGGAGTGTGCATGCCCAAAATCCCAGGAGGAGAATGGAGTAGAAGGGACTACAGCATGACCATGCCCCCTGGGGGAGAGGGGCGATATCTCACTTTCCCTCTTACTCCTTTTCTGTATCTCTCTGGGGAGTGTATAGAAGCTACAAATGAGCCATATGCGGGGGGGGGGCGGGGGTTGACTTTTCAACATGTCCTCGACTCAGAAAAAGTAGAGCAAGTGGTTAATCATTAGTTAGTACCTCTCCCCTCACCAAAAAAATAAAGAGAAAAAAATAAAATTATAGAGAAGCAGGATTCCATTACCATTTCCAATGCTTGGGCACTGCCCAATTATATTTCAGTTCATTGTTTTTTATTTTTCTTTTTAAAAGTTTATTCATTTATTTCTGTCATGAGCAAGAGAGATAGCACCCCAATAGAGACTTGACGTCACAATCCACCCCAGGTCCAGATCACAGGCATGTGTATGTCTGGAATAATCAGGGAGGTTTCTGGATTTGAACTGGGGACCCTCACATGGGAATGCCTTGCAGAGCATGGCATTTCACTGCTGCAGCAGTCTTTAATGATCGCAACTGCAGTCAATCACTCAGCAGTTCGTAGAAGAGAAAGATACTGCCTCAGTCTGGCTGGATGTTTTACAGTACAGATCTCATTGTATTTTCTCAGCTACCCTTTTGGTGGATGATTTGTCCCTACTTATGAATTTCACTCAAGGTCACACAGCTAATGAGTGGGGTACAGGTCTCTAACCCCAACCTGCCTGCGAGACTTTAGATCCCTGTCCTTTTCAGTTCTGTGCTTCCACGTTTGGTCTGACGTGTTAGATCAGCAAAGCTATGTCTTTTTAGGAGCAGCCATTTTGCTGGAAGGTTTTGTTGTGAGCATACAGTATGCTGGATCCATCCTGGCTTCAGTCTATGCTTTCTACCAGGTGAGATTTATCAAGGGAGTGCGCATGATATGCTAAGAGACATGCTAAATGCTTCAGTGAATGAGCAAATGATTACCTCATAGCACCCCCCCTCCAGGCAGTACTTTCTAGTCTCCTTTCTGTAGCACGTGATAGAGACCCAGAGAGGATAAAGGGTTTGCCCAAAGTCACATAGCGCGGCATTCATGTGCTAATTAGTTCACAGACCCAGAGCTCTTAACACAAAGGCTTTCTACCCCTTAAAACGAAGAAGGGTCTTTATAAACAATTCAGTCCTAAGTGCAAAATGGTATCCTGGAACAGAGGAAGGACATTCATAGAAAAACGAGCAAATTCTAAGTCTGGAATTTTATAAGAGCATCCCAATGTTGGTTTCTTAGTTGTGCAGTAATGCAGCATTAGAAGATACTAACGGCGGATGGCTATGTGAGTAATCTACACTATCTTTGCAATTTTTGTAAATTTGAAGTTATTCCCAAATTAAGGGTGATTAAAAAAAATATTTAGGGCCAATACCATAACACAGTGGTTTGTGTTGTGTTCAGGGAGGCCAACCATGGCTCACAACCCAGTCCCTTGGCGTGAAAAACACAACGGGGATGTGTGCATGCATGCCCAAAATCCCTAAAGGAGGGAGAGAGGGAAGAGAAGGATTGTGGTGTGACCATTCTCCTGGGGATGCTTTCTCGCTTTCTTACTCTGTTTCTCTGTCTTTCTCTGGCAAGCACATATCGTTTTCTGACCATTAAAATAAATAAATAAATAAATACATGGACACACACCCACAAAGACTTTATTCATACATTTCCAGCCAGGTGTAACTAAGGCTGAGATCCAGGAAGCCACAGAAAGGAGTAGCAGTGCCACTGGGGACCACACTGGGCCCTGCCCTGCACCCCAGCTTTCTGGGTGCTAGTGGGTGTGGGCAGCGAGCTTCTAGAATGTGTCCAGAGCTGAATGAGGTGAGTCTGCGTGTGTTTCTGTGGATGTTTCATAAACTTTTCCTGACACAGGACACAGCATTTTGAAAACCAGCTCAGAGGTCTGACCTTTGGGGCAGTGACTATGCAAGTGACTCCCTCAGTTCCCTCATCTGGTGGCGGCCCAGTCAGTCACAGCCCGGAGCAGTTCAGTGCTAAGCCGCACACTCTTGAATTTTCAGCCTATGCCTCATCAGCCTGAGGGCAGCTGGACAGGCTGGGAAATGTCCCCAAGAGCAGAGCTCTGCCTCAGTGACAAGAGGAGGGGACAGGGGATTAGGCTCAAGCACACCCGAGACCGATTTCTTGTCCAGGTTCCATTCTGGAGGTTGCGTGGTCT